TCATTGTTGTTTGGTGGGCCCAGGCTGGATTCGAACCCGCCACCTTAGGTGTATGTGGCTGGCGCCTTAGCCACTTGAGCCACAGGCGCCGAGCCAATGCCCAGTGTCTTAATCAACCCCACCCTGAGTTCCTGGCGTGTCAAAGCATCTTCTGACCAACCTAGGAAGCCTTCCGGCCAAACAAAAGGAAACATCCTTATGATGCTTGGGGAAGAATCCCTGAGGACAGTGGCCTCCTCAAACCCTTAGCTTGTCTGTATTTAGCCACAATCACCAGCGTAGGTCTCTGTACCCACGGCTCTCCTGTGCTTAGTACTCGCCAACAGCACCGCCTGAGAAATCTGGTATCTGGGAGTCTGGTCTCACCTGATGTAAGTTCTGCCCCTTTCTACCCCTGCCATTGAATATATGCCTGTCACTCAAAGTGGAGCTGACCTCCGCCCCCCCCGCCCCGAGAAAACTGCTGCATGGGACTCGCAGGTGTAACCCCTTATAATTTTTACAAGCTTTTTCTAAATCACAGTATCAAAGGAAATAGGCTTTTTATCAGGTTTATCATTGGCAGGTCTTAATGCTATGTTTTCCACCCTTTTTTCTTCCTCCAAAGTTAGCAAGGTGACAATAATCAAACTCACTAAAAACCAGGGCTGAGAGACACTTTAAAACTTTTGCATTACTCCCTCTGTGAGTAGGGCGCCAGTCCTGTATACGGAAGGTGGCGGGTTCAAATCCAGCCCCGGCCAAACTGCAACAACAAAAAAATAGCTGGGCTTTGTGGTGGGTGCCCGTAGTCCCAGCTACTAGGGAGACTGAGGCAAGAGATTGCCTAAGCCCAAGAGCTGGAGGTTGCAGTGAGCTGTGATGTCTTGGCACTCTCCCAAGGGTGACAAAGTAAGACTCTGTCTCTAAAAAAAGAAAGAAAAACTTTTGCATTAGAATTAGTCACAACTAGCTTCATGCAGTGACAGCATGGTAGCCAGTGAGGCTTATCTGAGGCACTGATGATTGCTAATTGAAAACTTTTCCAATACCCCACCATGACGACTTGAAATATAGTTGTCATTACCATTTCTTTTTAGATGTTATAACATCTAAAAAAAATCAGAAAAGATCAGGACAAACTTAATTAAATATATAAAGCGATCCTTTACTGACATTCAAACAAAGCACCCAAACTACAAGGAGAGAGAGGGAGCAAGTGGCAGGGAGGGGTCTGCAGAGATAAGTAGAAGAGGTTTGGGACCCAGGGAGATATGAGAGGATAGTACAAGAGCTGGGAGAGCACATTTTTCAGAAGACCCTCCCATGCCAATGGGGTCAAAACTACTGGTGTGGACTCCAGGACTTCTGGGTGCTACTTCTATTTGCTGGGCTCTCAAGCCTTCCAACATTCCCTTCTGCTCCTTTCCTTTGGAGCCAAGGGGAATTGGAAAGCTGATTCCCAGTAGCCTCACACCTATAACCTGGAGGTTGGTAGCTGCACTGTGTGCTTTTAGGGGCTGACAGGCATTCAGATTACTAGTCTCCACTATCATGATTATGGAGAAAAACAGGATGCAGTTAAATAGTCCCTGTGCTTACCACAGATCTTCAATCCCTGAAGACGGCCCCAAAATTTGTTACCAGAATTTCTTCTTCAGTAGGTCGTTGGGCTCCGGAATTTTAAGAATGAACCCACAGACCACAGATCAGTGGTGAGATAGGATTTTATTACGTAGAAAGGAATACAGGACTGAAAAGCACCAGGGCTTCTGGCAAAGGGGAAGACCCAAGTCGGAAGCCCCCAGAGTCCTTTGTCTTTGTCTACATTTTGGCCAGGACTTTCTAAAGTTAATGAGTGTATTAACACATGAATGAATGCCATTCCTCAGCTGGGGCCAGGTTATTAGGTCTTGGCAGTTTTTGTCTCGGGGAAAGGATCAGGGTATGTGCTCCGTACTCAAGGTGGAACCATCTAAAAACAGGCATCCTCAAACTACGGCCCGTGGGCCACATGCAGCCCACCTAGGACATTTATCGGCCAGCCCGATGTTTTTGCCGCCACTGCCTGTCCTTAGCAGGCTACTCATTCCAGAGCGCAGTCCGGCCCTCCAACGGTCTGAGGGACAGTGAACTGTACCCCTGTTTAAAAAGTTTGAGGACCCCTGAATTCTAAAACCTTTCCGGCTACTTTTTCTTGACCTTGCTCGAGAGGTGGAAAAAAGGCAGCCTGTTTGCCCTTAGAGATGAGGGTCTGACTTCTGAGCTTGCCTGGGCCTAGGGAATGAGGGGAGCCCTGAATCAAAGGCACACAAAGTAGTGAATACTAGGATGAGACCTATAGTTAATCACCATGCAATGTATTCAGAAGTTTTGCTGCTCTGGGGGAGGGAGGATGGGTAACTAACCACATGTGACGAGGGACAGGTTAATTTGTTCCTCAATTGTCACTATTTATATATATAATATGTAAATAGCATCATGTTTTATAATATAATAATAAATAACAATATATGACTTATATTTATATCAATATATGACTTATATTTATATCAATATATGACTTATATTTATATCAATATAAGAAGATATATTGATATCATATATCTTGATATGATATGATTTATATCAATATATAAATTGATAACATTTTTAATAGAAAGGATCTAGGCACAACATATGAATGAAGCAAGCTCTTAGAATAAGATAGTGATTAAAAATAAGTTAAAAATAATGAAATATAAATTTGTTGCAAGGATTAAGGCAGTGAGGGGGAAAAAAAAGAAAAACAAACAATCCTGAACCCTCCTCCTCAGCTCTAAGCGCTCTCTGCTTCCTGCTCCTCCACCTCCCACCCCAGCTCGAAAAGCCACGTGATTCTGAGGGATGCAGATGAAGGCTGGACAAAGGAAATGTCCTAGAGGAGGCCACTCCTCAGATGTTGACTTTACAGTCCCAGCCTGTGGCGAAGTCCCAATCCATCTCTGTCCAAAGGCTTTGAGACTTTGTCCAAAGAGAAAGAAAGCAGGGGGCGGGGTGGGTGGGACCAAGTGGGAGTGGCGGAATGTGGGGAGGCTAGTGGGGTCTGTGGAGGTGGGTGCAGCTCGGTGCGGCACCTATACTCACCTACAGCTTGGCCTCCGGGGACCTCGGGGACAAGGGGAGGGCAGCCGTGTTCCACACGTAAGGGACAGGAAACGAAACCAAGAGCCCTGCGTATCAGCAGTAAGGTCACTCTGAGGCTCTTTTTCCGCCTACTGCAGAGTTGGTTGTGGGACTTCTGCCCTCTGCAGCAGTTAAAGGGCGCCAGAGACAAACGAGTCCCACCAGGCACCCAGGTCAGGGAACTTGGCCTCTCTCCGTCTGCGCGGGAACAGCGGCAGCCACAGGTGAGTGAGCAGCTTTTGTCCTTTGCCTCCCGGGGGCGTGGGAGTGAGTTTATAGGTGGAATCTGCGAGGGTCCCAGGGCCAGGTGCATTTGATGGGCGATGGACCCCGTGGGTTCTGTTTGCTTTGGGGAGGGGGGAGTATTTGGAGTGAAGGTTGGGGGCAGGGGTTCAGAGTCCTCGGAAGCGGAGCTCCAGCTGGCGCAGAGGCACCGTGGTCTGCCCCGGAGCATTCATTCTTACAACACCTGTCTCAACACCTGCGGGCTGCTTTACGGGGAGGGAGCAGCCCTGAGTCGCGGTCAGAAGCCCGGCTCCAGACTACTTGCCAGAGTAGTGGGGGTACTAAAAAGGAGGACTTAATAGAGCCTCCTGGCTGTCATTTAACAATAAGTATTAATTGGAAATAGGACTGGAGCCCCAAACTGTGCTAGGTACTCTACAACTCTATAAGCGATATGAAAGGTAGAGTCCGTGCATCTCAGGATGGTAAGACCTGGTGCTCCGGAGTCAGGGGGCCTGAGTCTGAATCCTACCGCGACTGTATTTCGCCCATGTGGTTTCGGACCCAGTTTCTTCACGGATGGTCCTTCCTTTGCCTCATGTCTGAAATTGTGTATTAAAGGAATTACAAAAGTTACCGAGTCTATTACATGTATTGGCGTAATGTGATTAACGTGATGCCTGACATCGCAGGGAATACGCTGCCGAGTTAGCTTTCAGTATCTGAGCTATTTGACGAAGTCCCCTCGGCGTCACGCTCGCTACCTGCTGCCGGTGTTCTGTCATTCACGTTCTGTTACTCCTAAAAGTCTTGGCAGGGCTCCGTCTCACTTCCAGGAATGATCATTGCTTCTTCCGGTTTAGCAATTTGAGATGCAAGGCTAGTTGCAAGTCAGACTTCCTTAATGAGAATTGCCAGGCACTGAGTGTTCCTTTTTCTTAATCAAACTTACCCAATAGTAGATGTTTCTCTTAAAATGCAACAGGGCCCGGCGCCGGTTGCTCAGTCAGTGGCGGGGCTACAGCCACATACACCGGAGCTGGCACCCAGCCCAGACCTGCCAAACAACTATGACAATTACAACCAAAAAGAGCTGGGCGTTGTGGTGGGCGCCTGTAGCCCCAGCTACTTGGTAAGTCTGAGGCAAGAGAACCGCTTAAGCCCACGAGTTTGAGGATGCTGTGACGCCAGGGCACTCTACCCAGGGCGACATAGTGAAACTCTGTAAAGTAACTGAAAAACAAAATGAGTGCATTTCAGTCCCTGGGCAGAAAAGTGGCGTTTAAAATAGCTGGGTTGTAGACACACGACCTTGTGATCTGTGAAGGAGTTTGGAATACGGGTAACGTGAACCGGCCCCCCAGCCCTGCTCCGTCCCATCTCTGAGGACCTCGCTTTCTTCTGTCTGTTCTCTACCCTCACAGATCTCTCATTTCCTTGAAGGAGCCAAGTTCTCTCCAGTCTGAGGACGTGTACGTGAAGTCCCCTTTATCTCTCATGCTCTAGTTCAGGGCACCCGCACAGACCCAGCCTCCACAGCACAAGGACTTTCAATTCCCTTCACCTCTGACTCTGACTTTGCGGACCATTTTCCTCCCTACCACTATCTAAGTTAGTGCTCTCCTCATAACCCTTTCTTAGAACATCATCATCAGATGCAGAGCGCCCGATCCATTACATTTTCACTAAGATTTGTGTCTCCCTGGTGTCTAGCTTTAGTGCTGTGGTGTCTGGTATATAGAGAGCCTTGCAACCCACACCGGCTTTATACAAAGTGGGTATTTTGTATGTATGCATTTGTATATACATAATTATATGCACACTCTATAGCACTACCAAGAACAGTGCTAAATTTAAGAAGGAAAACTTTTTTTAAATGCATAGAATTTACCCATAAAAAATTTTTGCCTATAAACATAACCCAGACAACAGGAAAACTGGGTGGTCTTTGATTGTGGCATCCCTCCCTCTAAGTTCTGCTTTTGGTCTGCTACTCCAAATTCTTCCCTTCCGATAGCCTAGTATCTTTCATTTCCACTTACGGGTAGGAAAGTAAGGACCTAGAAGTCTTGTGATTTATTTTAGAACAGTGGAGTTTTGCTCAAATAATTCAGAATATGTATCTCATCTTGGCTGATGAAGAACAAGAACTGGTTTATCTTGTGTTTTGGGGGCGTCAGGAGGAGGTTTGTTCTTAGGCTATTAATAAGTAAATTCAGATAAATAACTCAAATCTGGTTATGCCTAGTTTATAGACACATTGGCTTCGAGATCTTCCAGAAGTAGGGATTATTCCCCTTGGAGTTCCCTGTTTTACATTAATACTGCTTTGAAAGCAATAAGAGAACTTGCAGGATGGGAAAAGGGATTCATTGTAATGTGGATTGTGAAACCATAACTGGAAATCCCCTGTGCTGTTTTTCCCTTTCTTTGGTGGTAGTGGTTTAAAATGATCAAATAGTCCGGAGCCTTGGTGGGAACTTAGAGTTCTGATCAAATGATTTTTAACAGAGACACACTGATATGTACATGCATGATGAGGAAATTGAGGCATCATATATTGTATGCATATCATATATGTACATATCAGTGTGTCTCTATTATTGAAATTCTGTTGTTTGTCCTGCAGTATTTATGTTTGCTACTGTACAATCTATAATGACTTTATTTCAGACCTTTGTTACATCGTAAATATAATTTTTCTCTTTCCCTAAAGTGTTTGTGTTTATCAAGTGTTTTATCAAATGAGAGTGGTCCAAACCATTGCTAAAGAGTTATGTTAAATGAACTAATTCAACAAGAACATACTCAGCTATTCCCCAAACTGAGGGATGTAAGTCTTAGAATAGACTCAAGTTTGAGAGACCCAAAGGATGATTATAACAGCTATAACAGCAAACAAGTGAGTAGGCATCTACATGGTGAATGACTTTATTTATCTGTTTTATGGTGCCTTACTCGGCGCAGGTACAGTTACAAAGATCACTTCACATTTTGCACAAGATCTTACGGTGTGAGATAAGCTCTGAGATGTTATATAATTGCTAAAATTCTACAACCTCTAGTGAAGTGGC